TGGAAACATCAGACCATTTGGGGACGCATTAATATTGCTTGCAGGGGATTTCAGGCAAACATTACCTGTAATTCCTCGATCGACACCAGCGGATGAAATAAATGCTTGCCTGAAATACTGTACTTTGTGGCGACACGTAAATACGTTAAAAATTAACTACAAATATGCGTGTCCAGCTGCAAAACAATCAATCAGCTGAGATATTCTCACATCAATTGCTGGAAATTGGGAACGGAAACGTGCCGGTTGATCTGACAGCAGGACGAATTTCATTGCCTCATAACTTCTGCAATTTAGTGATTCAAAAAGAAGAATTGGTTGAAAAAGTATTTCCCAATATTCAAACGAATTATAAGAATGACGAGTGAACGAGCTATTCTTGCGGCCAAGAACAAAGACATCTACGAACTTAACAATATTATTCAGTCTAACATTCAAAGCGAGGCAGTCACATACAAGTCCGTCGACACTGTAGTAGAAGCAGATGAAGCAGTTAATTATCCAACAGAATTTTTGAATTCACTCGATCTGCCAGGGATGCCACCGCAAGTACTGCAATTGAAAATCGGCGTGCCAATTATCATATTGCGAAACATCAACCAGCCAAAGCTTTGCAATGGCACGCGGCTTGCAGTAAAAAAATTAATGAGCAGCGTCGTAGAAGCAACAATCTTGACAGGACCTTTCAAAGTTGAAGAATTCCTCATTCCTCGCATTCCTATGATTCCAACGGATATGCCATTTCAATTTAAGAGATTGAAATTCCTAATTCGATTGGCGTTTGCAATCACCATCAACAAAGCTCGGGGCCAATCTTTAGAATTGTGCGGTTTAGATCTAGACACGGATTGCTTCTCACATGGACAATTATATGTTGCGTGTTCTAGAGTCAGCAAACCAGACAATCTCTATATCTGCACAGACAATGGAACAACAAAAATATTGTATACCCACAAACATTGTGAAATTAAACAAATTAGAAACGTGCACTTTCTCTTTTGTTTCTTTTCCATTTAACTAGACTGAGCCACAGCAATGCGTGGCTAGGTACAACTAGTAAAATAATAAAATTAAAATAAAGTAAATACCGATTAACAATCATTAAGATAAAATAGTTACTAATTAATAATTAGAATTAAGTGATCATATCAGTTAGTAACCACAACAATGACATCCAATAACCAAACTTTATCATAAGTATTTAATAAAAAAATTAAAAACTTCAGTTAATTGGATTGTGACCATATAAATAAAACATTACTAGGTAAATTGATTAGGTCAATCAAAATTATATATCTAAAAACAAGATAACTTCTTTTTTAACCTTTTTTTTTGCTAACCTACCAGATTTATGTTAAAACCAAAAATAAATACTTACTTTTAGAAAAATTATCTAATCAATTTTAGTTCCATAAATGTGATTATCCTTATAAATTATAATACATCAATATAACTAACATCCAATAGAACCTCAGTTAACAGGCACCTCAAAACTACAAGCACCGCACCATTAATGACAGACCTTTTCAGTACCTTTCTTTTTTCTATTATTTGTAACCAAAATAAATCCTGCAATAATGGGCACCTCAATATTCTGGATTAAGGGCAGTGTCTTTAGTCTCATTCTCTATATATATAAGCACTCAATAAAATGGGCAGTTATCTTTATATGTCTGTACACTATACCACTAAATTCCAAACATCCCAGAAGGATGACCAATATTTAAACACTTGCAATGTTTATTAGATCGGCTCCAAACCATGTTGACAATGCTAGATGTCATGGCAACGCACAACTCACAAACACCAGTGTCCTGCATACACAAAACAAAATGGGGGGAGGCTTAAAATTCAGAAATTCAGTATGGTCAATATGGAATCTAGCTTTACAAGGCTCATTTTTGACATTAAGAGCACATAGTTCATATCTGTAAGCTGTAAAATAAAGTAATTTAATAATGCTTTTCATGTCCAACAAGTTTTTGTTTTCTAATGTAGTCGTGCAATAATCCAAAAATATACATTTTTTCAAGAGGAATCCAATAGCTAAAGATGCATTAAGAGGCTTGAAAAAAAACAGTCCATAAATAATAATAAACCAACACATAATTATAGGTTAAATACTGCTGTATATATATATATATATATATTATTCCAACAGTATAAACATCAATGACTTTCTTCACTAGATATTAAAGTTAGGTATTCAAATGGAATAAATTTAATGTAAAAACATACATTTAAAACCTTTCATCTTCCTCTGATATATTAACTTTTGATATCTAAACAGAATCTAACTTAATGTAAAAACATACATTAAAACCTTTCATCTTCCTCTGATTATATTAACTTTGATATTTAAATGGGATCTAACTTAATGTAAAAACATACAGTATGATCTTTCATCTTCCTCTGATTATATTAACTTTGATATTTAAATGGGATCTAACTTAATGTAAAAACATACAGTATGATCTTTCATCTCCCTCCGATATACCAAATATAGGTGTTGAAACAGTATTTAAGATAACGAGTATAACACTTTTGAAATAAGCTAACTAGAAACTCTGTTATCAGACTTACCTTTTCCTGTAACCTTCTTTAACTATGTGGCTAGCCAATCCAAAATCTCCTATCTTTACTTCCATATTCTCACTGAGGAGCAAGTTTCCCAGCTTCAAATCTCTGTGTATAACTCCACAATTATGAATGTACTCAACTCCTTCAACTAATTGATGAATGTAATATCTGACCTCTTGCTCTGTCAATACCTTCCTTTTCTTTAAAACATGAGCTAAGGACTAAGTAAAAAAATTTGATTTTAAAAGTACCTCACAATGATTGATATTATCAATAAAAACTAATGACAAAATCAGCCTAACTGAAACATTACAATCAGTCAATACGAATGAAATCCTCCACAATGCCAATATCCTTGGTAACGAATCAAAATTTCCCTTACCTTACTACTCTGTGGTATTCCCAGAGCAATTAGTTAGGCCCACTAAATGAAGATTTGGAGAATTCATAACTATGGAGTATAATTAGCTGCTACTAAGAAACCAAAGTACAAAAATCTCTCAATGTTAATGTATAATTGTTTCATTCATCTGTATTATGTCTTCAAATTTAACAAACATACACATAGAAACTGATCAATTTCTATTGCAGAATATTAGTAATACTCTATTTTACTTTTAGAAATAAAATGCAGCAGTCACAACTGTTTTCTTTCCACTGCTCCTCGAAAATTTTCTTTATTACATAATTCAATAAATCCTATAATAGTGGTTAGTTTAAAACCAAAACATTTGAATAGAACATCTCCTATTTTTTTCTAGTAAAGTTCAATAAAATAGTACACAAGATTATTTCAATGCATTTAAAGAGATTTGATTTTGAAGTGCTTTTTAAATTACTTAACTATTTTCCTTTTATAACAACATCTCTAAAACACTAATTCAGTTGTCACACTAAAACAAAGAGTTACTTAACTAAATTGAAATGAATTCTATAGAACCTATGACACCAAACACCAGTGTACCTGGTTATGCCACAGTGTACCTGCACACCAAGGTTATAGTGATGCCTGTTTATCAATTCTGCAAGTCAGCTTAACTAAAGTTTAATATCACTTATCATTATGACGAGTAAAGTTTACTTACAAGTCAAATATATTTCATTTCTGAGACATAACGTGTAAGATACAATAACCTTCACATTTCAAAAGCACAGTAAACTTAAAAGTAAGGAATTTAAACTTTGAAAAGCAATGAAAGTGAGATAAGTCATTTTTAAAAACTACCTTTAATACTGTTCAACTTTAATTTTATAGTTTAAAGTTTTTATAGGGATAAATTTATTAATTACTGTATTATTTAAGTACCATTAAGAGCATTTTAATCAACATTAAACAGTTTTAAAAAACATGTCTACACTGACAGGCCACATTATTAAACTCATGCAACAAGCACACTTTAAATACTTGCACATGCACACAAGTGATCATTTGGTATGTATAGTGACAGCAATAGCCTTATAAATACAGAAATATGGCCAATTTACAGTTAGTTTGCGAGACAATAGACACAAGCATGGATCTGTAACTTTTAAAAAGGGACAAATTAGAAGGTGTTTGTTTAACATTACAAATTTCTGTTCAAAGTCATCAAAGTTTAGCAATAGTAACAACCAACACTGAAAATGTTTTTTACTGGACAAAATTATGACTGTCAACTTCCAAGAACGAACCAAGGGAAAAGACAGTTGGATAAGCTTGTTAAGTGCAACAATCAATACACTATACCCTAATTAACTGGTTCAGTCAAGCATTATCAAGATTCAACTGTCTTCAACTATACCATGTGAAGAACATTATAATAAATGTCACATGACAATCATCAACCAGCCTGAACATTAGTCATTTTCAAAATATGTCTTTAGTAATGTTTTGTGTTCAAGCCATTGACTATGAATGATTGGACACATGTTAGGAGGTCTCATGAATCATCCAATCATCAACCAGCCTAAACACTGTTCATCTCAAATGCAATCTGAAAAATATGTCTTTAGTGGTGTTTTGAGTTCAAACTATTGGCCATGAATGATTGGACACATGTAAGGAGGTCTCATGGATCACCCAAAACCCTTTTCAGAACTGACAGTATAAGAGAAACATGGAAAAAAACCACAAACATTTGACCCTTAACTGTACTGTTACAAGGTGCTTTAATGTATGGGAAATCTTCTTGTAAGATGGAATAATTTAATCGTAAGAATAAGTGATATCCAGAGTGGACCTGAATGCTTCCATTGATCAGACCCACTCTATAATTCTGGATTTCAACACTGATGAAAAAAGGCTCTTTGAAGATGATACTGATAAAATTCCCAGTGCTATTATTGTCTAACACAGAACGACAGCGATCAGTCACATTTTTAGCCAGTATAATCATTGGGCTTCAATCATAAGAAGTAATGCCAGCATAATCAAAATTTCAACACGAAATGATGCAACCCAATATTAGGTGGAAGCCCTCATAAAGCAGCCAGTCAGCATACCTTCCTAGCCAAGAAACTAAAGAAACATAAAAAATAAACAAGCACATTGCAATTTTATACAGGTAATCCCATTCTTATGTAAAATAAATTTGTTTACTTTGAGTAGTTAATCAAAGATATTGTTATGACAATAAAAATTATCAGGAAATTTAGTTACCTTTCTTGGACAGTTCTCAAGAAGAATATAAATGTGTTTCTCATCTTCAAAACAACCATAGAAACGAACAATATTTTTATGTTCTAGTAAGTTGTGCACTTCAACTTCTCTTAGAATCTATAAAAAGAGGTCTACGTTTATTTCAACTTCTCTTAGAATCTATAAAAAGAGGTCTACGTTTATTTCATCTTCTCTTAGAATCTATAAAAAGAGGTCTACGTTTATTTCATCTTCTCTTAGAATCTATAAAAAGAGGTCTACGTTTATTTCAACTTCTATTAGAATCTAAAAAAGAGTTCTACGTTTATTTCATCTTCTCTTAGAATCTATAAAAAGAGGTCTACGTTTATTTCAACTTCTATTAGAATCTAAAAAAAGAGTTCTACGTTTATTTCAACTTCTCTTAGAATCTATAAAGAGTTCTACGTTTATTTCAACTTCTCTTAGAATCTATAAAGAGGTCTCCATTTATTTCAACTTCTCTTAGAATCTAAAAAAAAGAGTTCTACGTTTATTTCAACTTCTCTTAGAATCTAAAAAAAGAGTTCTACGTTTATTTCAACTTCTCTTAGAATCTAAAAAAAGAATTCTACGTTTATTTCAACTTCTCTTAGAATCTAAAAAAAGAATTCTACGTTT